GAAAATTAACAGAAATCTTCAAAAGAGCAATGGGGCACAAAAGAGCACACTGCTTTTGTGAATAGTGGGCCAGCACCCTGGGGACAGACACTACTTCCTCTTTCTCATTTTAGATTTCACTGCTGGGCTTAATGGTGATCTGCTCTAACCAGTGCTCAGTCATTGATTGACTCAATGTTGAATAAATGTTAAACTTCTTGAAGTCCTTCCTAGTTGCTGAAAGCACCCCACAGGGTTTGCTATGAGTTGTACATAAATTGTAACCTGGCAAAATGAGAACTCAGAGCTGATCTGGGGGTATAATTAAGGACAGCTACCTTCTTTGTTGCTCTGAATTAGATTTAAAATAAACAGTGTTGATCCAAAAATGTAATGTGTGTAAAGAGTTCACATTTGTCCTATCTTATTTGGTATTTTGCAGTAAGATTGTAATAAGGCCCTCCATTTTTATCTCATTTGCTATGATCCAATGCAACTACAGTAATAATAGGTTGGATAAACTATAATTCTCTTTGAAGAATGGAGCAGTGCAGAACAACTGTCATGTGTTTAAAGTGAATCCTTTTGCCCAGCCCTCTGTCCAAACGTATTTCAACTGCAGACATACTTCTAAATCAAATTTATGTTTGATCTGTTTGCTGTGCACAGGAGTCCTTATCTTTAGGCATGCTTTTGCCTACCACTGCAGTAATTTAAATCACCCACACAAGTTTAAAGAAAGTACTGTGAACATAACAAGTCCTTAACCAAGTCCAGTGCATATTGTTCATCTAGTTTACTGCCTTACCATCTGCCCTTCACATCTGAAGGACTTGCAATAAAGCAGGAGCCAAAGTAAATGCAGATACCCCACTGCTATCTATTTAACTTTCATTAAGTGAGTTGGTGCAGTGCTCAGGCGCCTTCTCAAAACCAGCCCATCATCTAAGAGTATTTACATAAGACTCTTTGCATTATATGCCGACCTCTGCAACATTAGTATTAACTACTGACATCTGCCAAGTCTGACTGGTAAGTGCTTTACAGTATCAATTCATCCCAAGCAAAAAGCATTTCTGAGTGCTGCAGTGCTCTTGTTAATGCCAATAAGAAGTATCAAGGCTCATATGACACCTAGCAGAAATTAGTACCCACATTCAGAGAAAAGTCTTTGTTATTTCCTAGAGTATTATGTGGACTTTATTGAGATGACTGCATCTGACACCTGCTGTAATATAAAATGCAGCTATAATTAGCCAACTGATGCTCACTGCAGTTTAGGTCGAATCCCTTCTGTGGGAATTATGCTTTAAAATATTCAGAACTCCAAGTGGCTCTCATTACACTTAATTTTAACTTAGAATTAGGTGGTCTAGAAAAAAATTTAGGATTGTAATAGCCCCCTGCTGAATGCCACACAGCAACGTGAAAACCCATAGGAGTTTTTTTCCCCTCCAAATTAAAAAAAAAAAAAAATAGAACAGCAGACTACACTAGAGCCTTCAATTGAAGTCTGGCTTTGCTTAATTGTACTTTTTGCACTCATCAGTCTCTCCTCTTCAGAGCAAGCTACAAAAATTGCCTGAATAGCCAAAGAAAAGTTTCCCACAGTCACTGGCCAGAGAAAAACACTATTGTCCTTCCTCACAGTTTGATGGACAACATTTCTATAAATGGGTAGCCAGGCTGTCAATGGTACCCTTGCTGAAAAGGCAAAAGAAGAGAACAGATTCTGCCAATATCTGACAAAGCATGTTAACACATAATCAGGCATTCACTAGTCAGGCAGCTGCCCCTGGGACCTTCATCACACAGGTGCCTTTAAGCCATTTCCTATTCATAGATAAAGGAAAAAGCAGGAGATACCTGGGAAAGGAGCATTCTATTATGGATTGCCAAATGTCCATCTTCTGGGCTGTGAGTGTGAAAGTATAAAAAAAATAAATTATACTTGTAACTGAAAAAAATTATAAAACAGCATTTACTGTCATTTAAGTTGTGGTATTATTTTCCTTTCCTTTTCTCTTTACTTTTTTTGCAGGGTTGGATTTTTTGTTTGCATGACACAGCAGCATTCATGTCTAATAACAAAGGTGTTTTTTCCTCAGTGGCTTATCAAATGCATTTACCCAAAAGCCCCTTTTGCTGAAATACTTACCTGGTCCAACTAAGTCACAAAGAATTTACTTTGACACCTTAAGCGGTATTTTCCTACATATATATACAGACACATAGACATGCAATCCATTTCAAAATCTATGATCAGTAATGCCAAAATGGTGATGGGGTGGATGATTCTACACTGAAGGAGAAACTCTGGACCATCTCTAGAGGAACCACCAAAATAAATACTTCAGGAGAATGATAACCATTGTTCATTTCTTCACATTTGTTTCAACTAAGAATGTTAGTTCCACACTGTGCTGATTCACCTAGTCAGAGTATCAAACCTCAATACTCGATTAAGTCAGTGGTCCCATTAGTATATAGGACAGTTTCAATTAAAGAAATTAAAATTTCATGAACACTACCTTAAGGTTATTAAATATTAATTTCTATTTTATTTCTTCATATTTGTTGTACTTATTACCATACTTTCAGATCTCCTACAGTCAAAGTATGAAGCAAATATGAAGAAAGAACCAGGAATACAACTGATGTGATTAATTCCTCAGGGACCTTAGATTGTTTAAATATGGTCCTTGGGATACAATCTGAAGATGGACACACTCATAACCATAACTTTTCCTCTTAACAGGAAAGCTACATAAAAGTACTGAGGAACAACAAAATCAACACAGTGATATGAACCAAATGTGATGAATTAAAGTGTTACTTTTTCAGCTCACTTCTTCAGTGCTTCCTATTTGGTGTAGCTTCCTCATCTGTAAAAAAGGAGTGCACTGCTCACTGCAAACAGTTCTGGGGAATGGTCACCGCTAAAAGTTACTGCACGTGAGGTGGGAAGAGAGAACATCTGCCCAGTGGAACAAAACCAACCAAGGATCAGAAACACTTTAGAAATATCGCATTCTCTGACTTCAACTTTATTTTCTTCTTTATTTCTTTTTAAAATTTTATTTCTTATTATTTATTTTTATTTATTCCTAGAATAAAAATAAAATTATGGGGTTGGCTTTACTTAGTATTCCATTAATAAATTAGGACCTATTCATTTCATAATTCTTATAAAGATAGGAAATTTTCCTTAAATTTAATTCAATTGAGTAATACTTAGTAATTGCTTATACATGATCATTACTATTATTGCTACCATGCTTATTATATGCTAGGTACTTTATCTACATTTTATTGTTTAATCTTCATAACAACTCTCTGACGCAAATATAATTATTATTGCCATTTCATAGGTGAGGACACTGAAGATTTAGAAGATTGTTTAATCTTCCCTACTTCTCTACTAAGTTACAGAGCTTGTGTTTGAACCCAAATCTCCTACAGACTATACTTTTCCTATGAAACTAATGTTCATGTTTCAATTAATAGAACCAAATTTTTATTTATGATTTGGAAACATGCTCTTTTGTTAGGTAGCATATATATATATATTTATACATTATATGTGTGGGATTTTTTTTATTTTTTGTTTTTACACAAGTTAAATCAACCTCTTGTCTCCAGGTAGAATAATCAAAAGTTTCTTGGATAGTTGAATTAAAGTTTTATTTTTCTTGCTATTTCTAGGGAAAGAGTTTCCATCACTGACCACACTTACATTTGAAAAATTTAACCAAAGACTGCTTTTACCTCAAAGGCATGGCCCATCTCCCCAACAAATTGAAACTCCTTAAAATCTAGGAGGAACCCTCTCTTCAGCTTTCTCAAGATTTTTTGGTGACAAAACATAATCTCAGGAATTTCTTCTTTAGGTGTATCCTAAAAACTACTACAACTAAACATTCTTTTATTCTGACTTTGGTTGAATTGACAGTTTCTTACTGTTGCCCAACAAGTCAAATATAAATGTTTTAGCCTGGCGTTTAAGTTCATAGAAAACTGATCCTAAAATGTCACTTCAACCTCTGTCATCCTTTACACTAGCTGAAATCTCATCTCTGCTTCTTCCTTGCTCACTACCATTTTTAGCCTCTTAGTTGCAGTGTTTCTTATAAATACCCTCATTCTTTCTGTCAAACTGAACCTAATATTTTATGTCCATTTAATGGACCTTCAGGGAAATTTCCTTAATTCACTCCACTCAGCATGACTCTTTCACTTAATTTCATTTGACCTTCTTTATTACATAACCTATCACCATTCACTTGAATGATATGATAGTCGGCCTCACCCTCCAAACGTTTCATGGAGCCTACACTTAGGCTCCGCACCAAATTATAGCCAACTTAGGTGCAAAAGAGACTGTGTCTTTGCAGGTACAGCTACAAAATGATATGCATATTTTTGGCATTATTTTGCTATTGATATTGTCTGGGAAGTCAAAATAAGAAATCACTGATCTCGCTTTATTTCTATACTTAAGAGTTGCTTTTACCTAATATATGCCTATATATTATGGCATAAATACATATTTTTAGAAAATTTTACTCATTATTTTACTTATTAAGGCATAAATATACATTTAAAATTGTATGTTGTTTTCTTATATTTGTTTCAGAAAAGAACATAAAGGTCTGAATATGAAATATGAGAATCTACTGAGTATACTTATTTTGTTTTTACTTTTATTTTTTTATACACCACTATGCTGACAGATACATTCCCTTATGTCTACATTCTTCACCACACCCAAGTACTATATAGTTATGAGTAATGAAATGATTAAAAAGCATAATGAAAGAATGGCACAACTGTTTTTTATTTCTCACTCTTGAGGACTCACTGCAATATTTCCTGCTCTATATTAAATTTGAGAGCTTCTAAGTATTCTTAGAATTCCAGTCTTTTGGAAAGAATAATGATTCAATTAGGGTTTTTTTTAATCATGATGATTACTTTATGATAATGGTCTTACACAGCTAAGATGTTGCACTTATGTCGCACTTAGATGCAGCATTTCATTTTAGCAAATTTCAAGAACCATCCATAAGTATTATTGTACCTGATTTTTACAGGTTCTTTATCCAAGAACCTCTTCATTCTCAGTTGAAATGAGGATGCTATTTGATAAACCACAGTGATAACTAGTACCAGCTAAAAAACATGACAAAATGAAGAATATCAGAACAATGTGGAAGTAAACCAAAAATTGCCATTTGTAGTCCTTAGTAATCCACTCTGGAATTGGTTTTGAAACCAGTCTCTCAGAGGTGTCTTGCAATTCCCTTGAAGTTTCATTGGAGGCATCGAGACTTCAGTAACACATACGATATTATGGCAGTAGTTTCCTCCCGCAATAGAGGCAGAGAACTAAGGCTATATCACCATCACCATTTCTAATAATATCCTGCTAGCTACAGACTGAAGCTAACCAAATTGCCGGTAACTTCATTCATGCAAGTGGCAAGACATGAATAGAGATAGCATTTAAAATGAATTATTAGAGTGATTATGGAAAAAAGTTTATTTTGTAAAACCATTTTTTTTCTTGTGCCATCCCCATCTGTAAATTAAATTAATCAATTTATTAATGCTCATTCAACCAATATTTACTGAACCCAGACAATGTTAGGGAAATTAAACCTGTGGCATTGCATAGAAGTAGAATGCAGTTTAAGATGAATGTCCTAGGAGCAGCAGACAATGTTGGCTCTTTCAAGGAAGCTTCTCCAGTTACAAGGCCCAGAGAAGGCTTCGTGGGAGAGGTAAGTCTTAAGCTGAGTATTAAAAAAATAGGTGAGATTTAAGTTGGTGTAGATGAGAATAAAAAAACCGACAAAATGAATACAAAGGAGCAATACGGGTGGCAAGGAAATGAGTATACTGCAGCAACTGCAGACCACTTATGCAAAAGTAAGTATGCAAATAGGATGTTTATAGTCAGCAGAGTCAGAACTTTAGTTGTTGTTGATGATGGTGATGGATTTTGGTATAGTAAAGTTGTCCTCCTGTGAGAGAGTCAAATCAAGTTCCTGGAGGAAGCAAAAAGGAACGGTAGAGGGTGGTTAGCCTCAGAAACAAAAAACACCTCTTCCTTTGAGACAGAAACCATCCTTCTTCACTACGAAAGAACATCTTAGGTCACAATATATATTGAGTGCTTCCTTATTTACCTCCTCCTCTACCTACAGTATCTCAGCCTCTAGACCCAGCTTTTCATCAATACATACTGTCATTTAAACATTTATTGAGCACCTACTATGTGCCAGGAACTGTGCTGATGTGGTGCCTACAAAGATCAATCAGCTACACCACTTTTGGCATATTATTGCCTAAGTACATTGCTTGGCACTTAGTTGATAATAAATAAAAGTGTGCTACTTTAAGGCAGAGAGAAGGAAAAATGAGAAAGTGCAACTAGCTATATGAGAATTTCTCCGTAACGTAGGATGGATATTATCTGGTGAGTAGGGAATTAGATGTGTGAGCAGAGAGATATGAAGCACCTGCTAAGGGAAGTGTGCTGGAGAATTGTCAAGCAGCAATGAGAACCCAATTGCAGTAGGACAGATTTTGCCATAGACCAGGGGTATACATAGTGGTATGACTTTCTCTAAGATTAACAAACTTCTTTATAGTACAGGAAGAGGAGGAGACACACTTAGGGTATGGTGGTGATTGAAGGTGAGGATAGGCATGGCAGCAAGAGGCTTAATAAATGCAAAGTGATGCTTCTCATTTCACTAATAGCAAGCTTTCTCTCCCTCAAATAAGTTGGTGTGTTACTTGATTTTTCCCTTACATTCTTAACCCATAAAAAATGAATTATTATATTCTAAACTGTCCTATTTTAAAATCACACTCCATCATGACTTCTGAAATAGTTGTATCATGAGGAAATCTGTTTTAGAATTGTTTTATTTGTATGCTCACAGAAGCGTCCTTTTATGACAAACACCTACTTTAAACTTTCATAAAACTATTCAAAGGTTAAGTGCAAGATGTTATAAAATTAATATTAAATAATGTTTACTTTTCCATTGTGAGATTTTGGAAATCCCATAGTACAAACCCTATAAATTCTCTTTTTGGATAGGTGGGAGGACCCTTTCAGAGGACATTAAATCTACACAGGTTAAAGAACAGCGTCTACTAATTCAGCTACTATCATGTCATTTATGCTGCCCATCATCTAGTCAGAATTTACATATCCCATGTGTTTGCATATTTGAAATTACTATAACAAAACACGGCAACACAGCATTAGCTTATTCAGAAATGATATGATCAAATACATCACGATTCTAAAATTCTATGGCAGAATTAGTATCTTTTATTTTAAATTAATTTTCTGACACCTGAGTTTTCCTCAGTTTAGATAGGTTCCTAGTCTTAGATGGAAAGCAGCAGACTGACTTAATTCCTTTTTTTTTGTAAGCCAAGTAGGTGATCCAATATAAGCTGTGATGTAGTGGTCAGGAAAATACCATTCAAGAAGATAAGAACTCAAAAACTCTTCAAGCATATGAAGTGTCTTTTCCTTTGGGAATCCTAACATTCTCAGGTTAGGGCTAGGCTCACACAGACAACTAGAATACTTGTGTGACTGGAATACATAAAACCCAAGGATGGGTCTGTATCTGGCTTGTTCACAGCTGCATCTTCATTGCCTACCAAAGCATCAGACACATAATTAGTGTTGAGGAGGAAGGAAGCCAGGAGGCCCCCAAACAGCTACCTTGGACTATAAGAAATAACATTCTTCTAGGCAGTATCTTGAAAGGGTCAGGCACTGAACAAAACATCTGCACTTTAACAACCATCTTAATAACAGCACATGTTATTAAACACCACAGAACTTTTGGAACTACTCACATTAAAAAAATTTAGAAAATTGCATTCAAATTATAGATAATCTACATATGAGATCACTTGCATTTAACATGCTGCTTAATACACATATATTTGTTGGTGTAAATTTGGTATTTTTCTTTGCCCAAGATTTAACTAATTCATCTTTTAGAGAAAATTGTTGTAAAACTGTATTATAAATCTCAACAGTTTTATCTTTTTCTCTTTGAGGGAAATGATGCTGCTGTTTGGGTGTAAGGATAGGAGGTAAAACCAGCTTAAGAGGCTTTGTTTATTATCATCAATAGTTTTATCATGTAATTATCATGTAGTAGTTCAAAGCAAGAACAAAACAGATAATGCAGCTTATTATCTTCAGGGCGATTTTCCAAGTGTTTTGGAACCCCATTTATATTGACAAAAATACATTAGATGAAATTGATCAAAAAGAGAGCTCTCCATATGAGAGTTCAAAAGATGATTTATATTACCCTTCAGTTATTGATAATAACAATAATTTACCTTACTACTTCAGTTTATAGTTTACAATATGCTTTCATACTGTATCTCAATTGATGTGAGTGACTTGTAAGTTAAGTCATGCAGCTAGTATTAGCCCATTGACTTTTTTCTATTCTATTTTTCAAGCAATTTATAGTCATTGTAGAAAATTTAAATATAGGAAAATATACAGAAGAAGATCACACTAAGCCAATCACACTTAGTATTTTGGTGAATTTCCTTTTAGTCTTTTCTCTGCTCATTTTTTCCAGTATTTGAGTTAACACTTTATACAATTTATTATCTCACCTTTTTCTTCTGACATTACAACAAGCATTTTCCCATTTTATCTGAGCCTTTAAATATCATTTGGATAACTGCATAATATGTTTCCAGCTTTTAAATATATATAAACAGAAAGATATTTTCTGAATCTTCACGTGTGTCTGTATATTTCAGAATACTTTCTTAGGATAGATAACAAGATTACATTTATCAAATACTAGAAGCAGCCACAGGATCAGAAGGGAGTTGATTTTATGTAGTCAATCTTACTGCCTTGAGAACAATCTTATTTTTACAATCCTTAAAAAGCTATAGCATCTCTCTTAAATGTTAAAGACATAAGCTCTCAAATCAGTTTTTACATTTTCTCTTCTCATTATGTTCTCTGATGAAGAAAGAAAATGTCTCATTGCTATCTTAATATTTTAAAAATATTATCAATTTAAATTAACATTTCTTTAAAAAATGTACATGCTAATAATAATGATAGCAGTCAACTCTACTGAGAACTCACTATGTATATGGATGGCACTGTGTGCTAGCATTTTATATGCATTAATTTAATAAAAATAATTTGTTTATGATTGAGAAAAGAGATGAAGAGTAATTACCTAGGAATTGTGAACCAATTTATCAACACAGGAAGTAGATTTAGGATTCCCTGAAATAAATGTAGAATGTAAGAAAAACTGCTGCTAGCTAACCAGGAGATATACCAGGAGGTACTTTCTGATCTTCACGGATGTTGCACAGTCTCTAGAGACCACTAATAATGGGAGAGGAAAATGACTGGGAGAAGGAATGAGTGACATGTGCACTTTTCATTTTTTTTTTAAGTAATAGATGGCTGAAAATAGAAGGAGTAAGGAAGGGAATGTCAATGAAAATCCAAGAAAGGATATAGTTAAATGACTTGAGAAGTGGTAAAAAAAAAAAATAGTAGGCTTATTGTATGTGTTAAACACTGTTCTGAAAATTTTTTTATATGAATTTCATACTCACAACTTTATTAAGTGAGTGGAAATATCACCATAGAAGCCAAGAGTGAAATTGACCAGCAAATACTTGACAGAATATAGAAGTCTAGATTCGAAACATTAAATGAATACATTTAATGTTTTCAAAGAAATAAAGGAGGAAATCAATAGGCACAAAAATAGGTGAGGAAACACACATTAACCTAGTAGTTAAGAAAAACACCCAATTAGACATCTCAGAAAAACTATATTTGAAATAAAAAAAATTCAGAAGATGGGCTAAATAGTGAACAAAATAAAGATGAAAAGCAAATTAATGAGCAGGAAGATGGAACTGAGGAAATCTCCCTGCACCAAGACATGAAAAGATGCAAAATATAAAAGAAATGTTAAGAGACACTTAGGATATATATTTTCAGGAGGGAAGAAGATGAATGGATAAAGATATGGTACATATACATAATGGAATATTATTCAGCCATAAGAAGAAAACAAATCCTACCATATGCAACGACATGGATGGAGCGAGAGGGTATTACGCTCAGTGAAATAAGTCAGGCGGAGAAAGACAAGTACCACATGATTTCACTCATATGTGGAGTATAAAAACAAAGAAAAACTGAAGGAACAAAACAGCAGCAGAATCACAGAACCCAAGAATGGACTAACAGTTACCAAAGGGAAAGGGACTGTGCAGGATGGGTGGGAAGGGAGGGATAAGGGGGAAAAGGGGCATTACGATTAGCACACATAATGTGGGGGGGTGCATGGGGAAGGCAGTATAGCACAGAGAAGACAAGTAGTGATTCTACAGCATCTTACTAGGCTGATGAACAGTTACTGTAATGGGGTGTGTGATGGGGACTTGATAATGGAGGCAATCTTAGTAACCATAATGTTGCTCATGTAAGTGTATATTAAAGATACCAAAATAAATAAATGAAATTCTTTTCTGAAAAAATAGGAAAGAATGGAGAGAATGATGGGTGGGTAATATCTTAAGAGAAAATCACTAACAGTTTCATAGTAAAAAACTTTAAAGACCAAAATCATCAGATTTTAAAAGTTTATCAAATGCTGATCAAAATTAATTTTAAAAACTCATATCTAAACTTATGATAGAGAAGACACAAAATACTGTATGGAATAAGAAAATGTCATTAGATTTCTCATCAGTAACATTAGTTCTAGAAAAAAAAACAGAAAAATACTTTCAAAATACTGAGGAAAAATAAAAGAAACTAAACCTAGAAACTATGACAAGTCCAACTATCATTCAAAAGTAGTCATAAAATAGGGACATTTTCAGACACATGAGAATATAGAACATTTACAGATCTTTGCTTTAAGATGTTTGGAGAATTGGACTTGTAATTGTAGTTCTTGAAGCAAACTTGGTATCAAAACCACTTTTTGAA